TTGAAGTGTCGGCCTTTGAGCCATCTGTGGACTAATCAGACATATATTTGCCGGTTTGCCTCAACGAAAACAGCTACAAGACCAGGCGCGTTTGGAACGAAAAGCCACATACTGCCTTAGAACCTCTTGGCCATTCTTTCGGCAAAATCGAGGGACTTGTGGCGTTCATGAATTATGAAGAGACATTTCTAGAGAACCATTCGAGGCATACGCTACGATGCAGCCTATGCCAATGGGTTAAGGCGTATGTTGTAACCCTTTTTCTCATATGACTTTGGCCGGGAGTATGGAGTAGTCTGAGTAAGCGAGGCGAGGCACGAGAGGAGTGGAATGGCGTGGCGCCAATTGACAGCGGACTGGAGCCCAGGGACCTGGTAACTTGTCTTAACCCGGTAAGGCCCTGAACTTGGTGCTATTGCCAAATATGGTGTGGCCAGCCGATCTCCATTCATGTTTCGAGGCTCTCTTATATATGCTGCAATCAACTTAGCTCGTCGCTAGTCTAGCCCCGACTTCGCTTCGCTCTCTTCCTTTTCTGCCATGGGCCTACATGCCTCGAAGTTGCCGACCTTGCCGGTTGATCTGAATAACGGGCATCATCAAAACTCGGCCGAGACAAGAGCTCTAGACTCAAGATTATGAAGATTTCGAGTCTAGCTAGAATGCCAGAACTTGACACCGTCAGATGAAGCAAAAGAGGACCCACACAGTCAAGGGCCGAATGGTGGCGATCTCACTTGCGCTCAAGCATTAAACCGGACTCCATACCAACAACCTATTTCTACTCCCTGACAGCTCCTTTTCGCCCCACGACCTCCGACCCCCCAATAGCGCAGACGCTGCACACGTGTTGCCCCAGAACCTACGCCCCGATAGAATAGTATTTCTATTTCCACAATCTCCACTGAGCAAATCCGTGGCTCAGATCAATTATGGTTGAGCAGCTCTTAAAAGCTCGAGCTCCGGAGAAATCGTGGTGGATAGATACCCCTACGACTATCAGTTAGCTTACGGCTGTATCCATCCGCTAACGTAGCTCTCGGGACTCGCAATGAATGTGCCAAGTCCACCTAACTTATTCAGGTGGTTTCCAGCTTCCATAGCGACGCCTCAATTGTCCATCATGACAGTGCTCGGTTGTTTTCGACTCTCATCGACGCGACGCGACTCACAGTTCTGCTGGAGGTGTTCGTTGACTTTCGATGATCGTCTTGACCCTGCACTTTGCGCTCCGCAATCTCAATCTCAGTTCCACTCTCTCCAGTCATGGGACTGGACTGTGTAATCCTTGTGTCGATCATGGCTCATATACTGTAGCGGGCTTAGATTTATTAAGTACCGAATTTCAGTTCCTCAGATTCTGACGGATCGCATACGTTCGGTGGTTCCGCTCATCTGGACAAGGAATCTAGAACTTCTCGTACAGATTCTAGCGCCAGGGCTCGCTATTATGCCATTACCTTTGCATGACTCTAAAGACGTTGCTCATATCTCAACACTTCATCCGGAAAATATTTCAGTTTTGTCACAAATGAGCTACCTAGCAAAAGGAAGATCTTCCCCAGCTGACTAGTCATCTGAAGTGGTATATATGCTACGTGACAAGTTCAAAATGTTCCCCGAGTCTTGCCCTTGGGTCATTTTCATCTTCTTGAGAGGGGCGCTGTTGTTGTTGCTTTGAACTGTGCAGTGAGTGCGCGGTGGGTGTGCATGTTCCTTCAAAAAAGGGGCTAAGCTATCATCACCCCAAACATAAATGAAGATGAACCCAGTCCTCGCTCTCCGACCCAGGAGTCTAGCAGAAAAATCAAGGACCTTGTGACGCTCCATCTGCTCCATTCAAAGCCTCAATCACGGCCTTCAACCCATTCTTCTGAGCAAACAAAATCGGCATTCTAGTAATCTTTTCCCCCTCATCAAATCGGTCCATGTGCTTCCGTGGTAGAAACATAGTCTTACGAATCATTGCCTCCTGCTGCGCATGCTGGTGCTGACAGACACAAAAATTGGCGAGAGCACTGATGACGTTGTCGAACTTTTGTAGCGGCCCAAACAATCTGTTAAGCATGAAAGTAGTCATCATATATGCTGGCGCTTCATGGCGGGGAATGCTGAGTTTGTCAGGTGGCAAACCTCTATCTGGAACGAGTAGAAAGGCTTCACGAGCTAGAGCACCCTCCCTGCCTAGCATACCCAAGTGAGTGGTAATTGTGAACCTAGATAAATCATGACACATAGCCTATGTACTGGGACAGTTGAAAGATGCAGGGAGCGGTCAAAACTAAACTAGTAATAGAACAAAGCGTTTATAGCCTACGTTCTCCTAGCTTTTTATTTACTACATTGTTGCCCGTGGTTGGTATGTATGATAAAGAGATCACGATTGAAAGATTCTTTCATCATGCACTCAAAGGATAAAGGAGGTAACAAGTGTTCGAGCAATGTAGTACCTTGTAACAGGTCAAATTTTGTTGGCTTGCATACGTTTCATTGACTTGCCATTTGCCCTTTTCTCTCATTGAAGTAATGTTCGCTGTAGAGCATCACTACTGTAGTAAACAAGTCTCGCAGTCTAATTGACGCCTCTTTGTGCTCGCTTTACTTAGCGCTGGGTTTAGTACCTCTTAAGGTTGCGGGAAATCTGCGACTGTGGGAGGCCAAGGTTCGGGGAGCACAGCAATAATAATGCATTGAAATCCAGAAGCTCTTGACGGATTCTGGAATTTTATATGGGGCTTTTATGAAGGAAGACTTCGAAATGCATTCTTCTAAATAGCAAACATCTTAGTCGTACTAACGTTTACTCGACTCCACCTGCGTTTCTCCCAGGCAGCAAAAAGGATGGCCCGAGGCCAGTAATCGTGATATAATTTGACGAATGGCCAGGGGTCCCATGCAGTGAAAGCCCCCTCATTCCAGCAATATAGATGTTTTGCAAACGTTCTGACGCTTTTCAAAAGTTCATCCAAGCTCAGACGAAATCTGAGAAATTCCAAAAAGGGGAGTAAGAGAAAAACTGTCATATCGTGCCCTATCCAATACCGTGGTCTCGTGTCTAGGGGAGGAACAATAACATCTTCGAGGCATGCTTCGGTTATTTTGCTCTTGCGCATTGAAGACTCTCCTGGCCAACTTCCAGCTGAGATGCTGTTACCAAGCACTGAAAGATATGCCTGTACCATATCCTGCATTTCTGGCCCCTCCTGAGCAAATAGCACCACAGCAGTGTGAGCGCGAGGGTTGCATTCGATGGCATAGAGCTTTTTCTCGAACCAATTTCCAGTCCAATGGTCCTCCACCATAAAATCAAAGCTAAGGTGACCGGTGAATGACCCAAACTCTTCCTTACAACGAGCAGCGAACTTGCGAGTGAAATCAAGCATTTTACAGCATAGCGGATCTGACGGGGCCAAGGCTTTGTAGTGCATCAAGAGCTCTGATGACGGGCAAGCCACAAACACTTTGACTTCGCCTGACACGATTAAGGCGTGTGTACAATACTCTTGCTCACCAGGAATATATTGTTGAAGTATCCAAGCGTTGTCCTTCGTTATTGGAAAGCGTTTCACGTAGGCCACAGTTTCTATAGGAGTCGACAGTGGTAATAGTGTCATGTTTCCGCGGTTCGCGTCGTCCACCCCAACAGGCTTAAGTATGAAACGTTGTGCAGCGACTTGTTTCTTTTGCTTAGATCTCTCTTCGAGGTCCTCTAAGACTTTGCATGCTGCCGCTGTAGATGTAAGGTTATATGTGCGAGGCACCGGTAGACCAAGCTCTTGGGTATAGTGCAGAAATGTAGCTTTGTCGTGCAGGAGAGCAGTTATTTCAGCATTGAATTGAATGCAGCAACAATCTGTCAGATTTCTTATTGCCTCCTGTGCCCGCCCGTCGTCAAGCGCCGTGGCAACACCTGAACACGAAACCCACAAGTGCACGTGCTCCTTCTTGACGACTTGAAGTAGCTGTTCAGTATACCTCTGGCCGTTTACAGGTATATCAAGCCGATAGAACTTCGCGCACGCATTAGAGACACGTCCTGGTGATTGAAGACGTGAGGTTTCGAAGTCGGCGCCGATGACATGATGTCCACATTGGTGAAATGCTCGGGCGAGTGTGAGTCCTTTTGTCATACCAATGCCAGTCACGAGAACGGTACGCTCCTGGAAGGATGGATCATTTTGACATTTTCTGCGAAACGAGGGCTTTGGCACCAAACGCCTTAGAATAGAGGCAAAGCAGACTAGGAAGAGAGAAACAGGGAGCGCCAATACGCTGAGGAATATCAAGCAGTAGCTTCGCAATATCTCGTGCAGAGGAGCAGGAGGCATTATGGCACTGACGAGATTGAAAGATGAAGTGAACGTGGCAAATACATGGAGAAATTGCTTGTCAACCCTTGTCTAGTAGGATGCTCAAAGACTAGCACTGATATCTTCAGAATCATTCGGCTATTGAGTATACGATGCGGTACCAATAGAACTATGGCGTAAATCACTGACTTCTGCTTACATTTAGTGCGCCATAAACGGGCCCAGCCGCGATCTCCGTTTTTCTCCCCCCTTGATTTTTTAAGACAAAGAAGCTTGATCAGTGTAGTCATGAATCATCTAGTTCCACCGCTTCGAGACGTAATTAGTGGTGCAAGGATGAAGCTTGTCTTCAGCCGCAGTTCCCTAGAGTTCATTAGGCGCAAACTTTGTGGCGTTCCGAGGAGATTCGCGTTCAGTCGTTTACCTCACCATTCGTCATGTCGGTATTCAAAATCAGCACGAGCGTCTAATCTGGATTTCTAGAATGCCACAACCATTATTGATCAAGAAACTTCAAGAGACTTTAAGAGAGGGATGACATTCGTTAAACATGCATAGTCCTAGGTGAATTTCTCCAGTTGGTGTGACAAAATCCGATCACCATTCTTACCTCCATACGTTTACTGGGCTTGTAGTGACAACGCAAATCAAATCTGGAAATTCAAGAGCTTTTCTAGTAGTTGTTCGCCTCTAGCGGACTCCATCAACAACGCCATTGTCAACGCTTCTAACGGTGCTCTGAGCCAACCCCTTGTTCACGTACTCGCTCACATTGTTCCCACTGTTGTTCCCATTGCTCTGAAATTTGTCTTCATGACCGTTCATTTTGCCATTCAATCCCCCGCTCACTGTTTGGCTGGTGGAAAGCATTCCAACCTCCTTAGCAGCCGCCTCCACACCTAGTTTCCCGTTGTCATTATCAGTGTAGCCGGTGTCACTAGCATCGACGTAAGCCTCGATTCCCTCACCACATCGGGGATACTCGTTCATGAGACCCTTATGCTTGCGCAGCGCCGCCTTGAGTTCCTCGGCCGACACATTGTTCAAGAAGGTGCAGCTTCCCAATGGATTAGGAACTGCCAAACGCAAGCTTCCATCTCGAGTTTTGAGAATGGCAGCTGTGCCTTTGTCGAGGACTTCTTCGTCAAATTGAGGATGATCAATCGACAATCCAGCTCTCGAGAAGAGATTTAATAGCCGTTTATGTTCCTCATCGGATAGCAAACCTCGTGAATGTGCAAGAGTAGCCGAATATGCCATGTCAATTGAAATAGCATGACCGTGTCGCAAAGGTGTCTCAGGCATGAGTTCATGCATCGGGGACCATGTATGACCGTAAGCAATGACACGGTCTAGGCCCAACTCGTGCAGGTTGGGTGTTTCCAATCTGAGCATTTCATAGATACCCTCGCGATTAATCTAGCCATGTCAGCACAAATAACTGTACCAGAACCTGAGGAGACAACTCACGGTGTCCGCAGCGTGGCGCAGCTCGTTGGAGGAGTCATCGGCGCGGCCAAACTTGCTCTCGATCAATTGTTCACAATATTTGTCCAAAAGGTTGAAAACCTCAAGGTGTGAGCACGACGAGATCTTAATGAGCTCGGCGAACCCGTTACGAACCTGTGCAATAGGCAAGGTACGAAGGAATGTGAAATCAAGGAAAGTGTGCATTGGGGCATGGTATGCTCCAAGTCGGTTCTTATAGTCACCGTAGTTAACGGCAACTTTGATACTTACCGAAGCATCTATGAGCCCAATGACTGTGGTGGGTACCCTGATGAAATTGGTATTTCGGCGGTACGCCGCACAAGCGAACCTGTGAACAGACTGTTAGGGGACTTTTCGCCATGTTTGCATATCACCTATGTGAAAAACCATACCCAGCAACATCGGTAACCAACCCGCCACCGATAACGAGCACTGGTTCCTGTTGCCAAGTTAGTCTCCCTCGAACAAAGGATTTCGACGAGCCATTTACCTTTCGAATGATTCCAAAATCGGTCATTGAATCACAGATGCTCAAGAATGTGTCAATGGTCTTGGCCTTTTCACCGATCGATGTCTTGTGAACTTTCAACGAGAGGCCGTAATGCTCGAAGTACCGCTCCATTTTTTGGCCATACATGCCAAAGACATTTTTGTCAGTGACAGCGAGGACTCTACCCCATGGCTTATAGCATTCGGCAAGCCCAGGATTGGTGATGTCGAACACCCCATCCACAAAAGAAAAGTCATATGAGATTTTCTCGTAGCCCTCGACGTGAAAGCCTCGCTTTGTCTCGGTCACGGATGCTTTCAGGTCAGACATGCTTAGATGGTAGAAAGTAAGGAAGTTGAAATTTTGAAATGTTTTGAGATAGAAGATAAAGATTGACACCTCAAGCCTTCCCGAGAGCCAACCAGGAGGGCATTGAACTTATAACAGCCCGGCTAAACTTAACAAGTACCTTTTACATCCGGCCAGAAAGGATGATCTGATCGATGTCATGTCGTCACTACTGCTGAATGCGTAAGTATCGAAATTCATGAGCAGGCCGCAGCTATCAAGCATTGTACGGGCCCCTTCAGCATGCTCCTCAAAGCCGACAAATAGCCTTTGCTACATATCCCTCTGCAGCCGACTCTAAATTTGTCTATGAATTACATAATCTACGGCCTGTATCTAGGATCAGCACGTGGGAGAACAGACAGGACATAAAGGTTGCGGTGACTGTTTAGACTTCCCGAACAACCTAGATCTACCCTCGGTGCGGCACCGATTTCATGAGACATACCTAGTCTGCAAGCAGTGAAGAGAAGAAGGTCTGCAGCTCTGTACAGGCAGGAGCCATCGCCAAGGTATTGTTGTGGTTGACCCTGTATGAGACAAGATGAGCAGTACATCACATCAATCTTCGTGTTCGATGATTCCTAGATGACAGCCTCATTGCTAACACGGCCTACTTTTCCTGTAGCAATATCCGTGAGTTGCATCAGCAGCGCACTGTCCTATGGCAAAGACGATTATGGAGAGTGGACTAGAGACGCAGGGGATAAATGGTGCGACTGCATGGCATGACGCGACGTAAACACGGCTGTAGGGGATCTGTCTTTTTACCAATCGCCAGATAGTTTAATACCGTGTCTTACCGGGTTCGTTGTTGACTTTCCCCACGCGGAGCGCGGTCAATGACTGCAAGACATGGAGTGATGACACATGATTTCCGCCCCTGTCCCACCGCGGCTGACACACAGGTTTCACACCGGGACCACTGCGGCGTGCGTACATTAGCACTTGTTCGGAAATTGAACTGAGCTTTCACGGGTGCTCTATGGGTTGAATCTCTGAGGTTTTATCATTGAAAGGAAATAGATTTCACTAATCTGAGAGTAGTATTAAGCCGCACTTCCGAAGAATATGGCCTCCAAAAAGAGTTTCCAGGGCCGAGCGTATCAGCCGCAGGAGGAGGTGTATGTAAGTACGCATATGCACGAGGCACGATGGTTTCTGATAGTGAGTGTGGCAGTTTAACGACGGCCGTGAGATCGAGCTGCTGCATTTTATGTACAATCATCCTCATATCGATGAAATGCGCGGAAATCCTGAGAAGGTCCTCGCCGCCATAGATGAGTTCGGGGAGACAAAGAAATACCTCATGAACGTAGGTAAATTCAAAGCCAAGATCATAATCGACTTGATTGCCAAAGTGAAGCCAAAGGTTATGGTAGAGCTTGGCGGATACGTCGGCTACTCTGCGATTGCCTTTGGTGCTGGTCTACGAGCATCAGGGGGTGAGCAATACCTAAGCCTGGAAATGAATCCAGAATTCGGCGCCGTTATTGATAGCCTTGTGGACCTAGCTGGTCTGCGAGACATTGTGAAGGTTGAGGTTGGCAAGAGCTCCGCATCCCTTCGTAGGCTCTTCTCCAAAGGCCATCTGAAGCGTATTGACCTACTCTTCCTCGATCATTACAAGCCGGCCTACACTCCAGATTTGAAACTCTGTGAGGAGCTCGATCTTGTGGGCGCTGGGTCTGTAATTGCCGCAGATAACGGTCAGTGCTGTTATTCAGCATCTCCTGTGCGGACCTCAATTAACAATCGCAGTTGTTAAACCGGGCAATCCGCCGTATCTTAAATATGTTAGGAGCACAATTGACGAGAAGAGAAGAAGCACTCAAGCCTTTTCAAAGATGGTCAAGAACGATTTCGACAATAACCATGAAAATGTTCCCGAGGGCGATCAAGATGCCAATTCGCGGGATGATCTGATAAATGGCAATCCAAATTTGATATACGAAAGCAAATTCGTAGAAGGGTGGGAGCCGAGTGGTGTTGCTGTATGTATAGCCATTGTTGAATGGTTCGCAGCTAATTGGTTTCAGGATGCAGTGGAAATCACTCGATGTGTTGGTGTCGAGAATTGGCTGGTGCATCCGGTCTCGGATCATCCAGGGGTATGATGCTGTGTTAGCAAAGCTGACCAAAGTTTCGACACGACCTTGGTTGCAGAACTTATGACCACAAGTGAACGTGGCATTGACAAGTTGCAAGATTCCCATGTATCTAAAGAGTCTTGAACAAGATCAGAACTTCGGATGAGTGCCTAGAACTAGTTACTCATTCATACTAATCACTGGGTTTATATGAATCATTCGACACGTCACGGATTTGTACTAGTGGTGATTGTTGCGCTCTTATAATGACAGTGAGGAACATTGTCTTGTTCTGGAAACTATATAACGCCTGCACTTCTGGCAATAAAGCAAAAGAAAATAGCATCAGAATCATCGCACCTCAGATAAGTACAAAAAAGATCTCAAGACTCGTATATGAGTGAAACAGAAGAGTCTTAAGCCCATAAGTGCTCTCAATAATTATTAAACAAATCAATAAACACCTTACTTCTCACCTCAATGAGACAGCATGTCTAGCGACTCCAAGCAGACGGGTCGGATCGGCCAGGACTCAAACGAGAGGGTTATAGAGTCGATCAAGCATGGCGCACCTAGCAAGATGGAAGAAGCCGCAGCTGATCCACATAGTCATCATGCTGAACAAAGCTCTGAGCAATCAAGCTCGACTCAGGCGGGTCAAGCGGTGTTGAAACCGAAATCCATGTTTCAATTCGAAGACGATGAGGATCCTGACGAAAGAGACAGGAATATGGAGAAATGGTTCAAGAAAATTGTGGATCGCCTCCGTCAACGCATGGATGATGAGGCTCAAGACACAGAAAATGAATGGAAAGCAATTAACAGACTTAAAATAGTTGCGAAAGCCATAGGCCAAGAGATCTCAGAACAAGATGCTGCAAAGGCAAAGTCTTCCGGAACGCCAAAGCAATAGCTTTACGTCGATTCGAACTGTGCAAAGAAATTGCATCGAGGTGGTCACCTGGTTACATTTGGCAAAGACAAAAAGGGGCCTTTGTATTCACAGGAGACAACATGGTAAGGCGAGTATTGAAATCACAAACCGAGCCAGTCGTTAGAACAAATGCGAGGATTGCATTCATATTGGCAGTAGACGAGTCGGGCATCTGAAATTGACATTTCTCTTGACATGCGAGACCAGCTCTCAAATGATCGATTGCGATGCATGTTTCTGACAGTAGTAATCTAACCATCGTAAGCCTCCTGTAACATTTTGATGTCAAGCTTTTTCATCTTCATCATCTCCGTCATAGCTCGGTCTGACTTCTCCTTGTCGGGACCCCCCAAAAGCTTGGGCAAGATAATTGGGACGACCTGCCATGAAAGGCCATATTTGTCTGCAATCCATCCACATTGCCTTTTGGATTCATCACCCTCTTCGCCAAGCTTCTCCCAGTAGTAGTCAACCTCTTCTTGGTCCGCGCACATGACCTGGAAAGACACAGCTTCATTGAATTTGAAATGAGGTCCGCCGTTAAGTGCGACGAATGAGTGGCCGTTCAGTTCGAATTCTGCTGTCAAAACGCGACCTGCGGGCTGACCGTGCACTTCTTGCCCGGCTCCTGTATATCGATTGATACTGCTGACTCGCGAATTCTTGAAAATTGATACGTAATGGTTGGCTGCTTCTTCTGCCTTCCCATCGAACCAGAGACAAGTTGTAATCTTGTTGAAGTACATGATACTTCGCAATCGTTATTCTGTGGATTGAATGATTCTATTGTGTTTTTTGGCAGCTGATTTCCCGTGAGCAATGTAACTCCATAACCAACATGAGATTGCTGCAATATTGCAGTCTAAAATACTCCAGGAAATTTCACCTGCATTCTAGCATCAGTAAGACACGATTAACATTACACCGGGGGCCACTGGGTTGTGTTTTGGGAATATCATTGTATCATGATTCGTTTAGTAATCGTACCGAAAGTATGAGCGATGAGAGGCATCTATGGCAGAGTGGCTTGCAGCGATGGCGTTGCAGCCTAGTATCCCGCAGAAAAAGGAATGAGGGATCCTTGTGAATGATCGGCTACTCCTGCCATCAACCCATCAGAGAAGACTATCTAAGTATTCACGGACTACAAAACGGGCAAACTTCATTCCGAGAATTGGCTGATTGCTTTTCTCTGCGATCTTGGCAAATTAACACGCAAGGCATCCAACACTTGAGGTGTATTGCATTCTGTTGACCTCCTCATGTCAAAGAATGATCATCCTCTCTCACTCTATTGATTTCATTTGAGCAATGCCCCCCACTCCCCGCTCAGCAGACACTCGATGATGCATATCTTTAACTCGTCCAATATCCCCCATTACATTTGGAGAAGTCGTATTTCAGTGGCGGCGCACAGAGACAGAATCCAGGAGCATCAAATGGTGACCCTGCACCCAGGCCGCGTGGCCAACAACATTGGGTCGAACCTGGGACGTCCTTGCTTTCGCAAGTTGGACAGTCGTGTGTGATTGAACATCCGTCAGCTACTCGTTCTTTAGCAGCGGGAAATCGTGTGCATCTTATTATCCTACCTGTACGTATTGGGTTTGATGAGAAGTCTCTCTCGGAGATTGGAGTTGATACACCTTGGCAGACGAAAAGCACTGCGATGAGACCCCGGAACAAGATTGCTGCCGACATGGCTTGGAAAATTGATCGAGTGAGAAGGATTGAAACCTATAGAGTGAGGGTTGATACTGAGGGATAGGTAGCCTAGCACAGCTTCACGTTTTCGGTTCAACTGTCTTCATTTTGGCAATGTACTATGCAGCTTGTCGTTCTAATACTCAAGCAATGAGTTCGGCCGCATAGAGTGTGAAATGTACGGGTTATTGACAGCATCGAAAGATATATTGGATAGTGACGCGCCAAGCTGGGTGGAACACGGTCTTTCAACTATTTAGCCTACCATAAATTTGTTACAAGCAATTTCGGCACTTACGACCACGTCATTCTCGGATCCAAACGGCTGGGGAGTAGTAGTGTAGTCAGATTAATCGACGATGAAACTTTAATGCATAACATGATGCATAAAAGCAAGAAAAAAGAGAGGCATATGTCTACTCTATGGCAATACTGGAGCGGCACTTACTATCAGCAGCAGCTACGCTTGTCTTGGTGCGGCCCGAGCGCATCAGTGTGCCCTTGCTGGCAGTTCAGTCCTACAAATGCATTGCCATTTGCCATCAACATTAAACAAGGCTCTAAGCCCTCGAGTCAACAGACAAATTTTAGTACCAGTCTCACCAGTCTCACGCCACGATCTACACAAGTGATCTGTTAGTTAGATACCCAGGTAGAACAGCTCATGTGGAACGATGATCGCTCATCAAGTGATCGGGCTACTTGCAGATGGCCCACCAATGATATCGTTAGAATGGGAATCCTCTACTTTTTCCTCGCTGCAGATCAAGCCCTCAAAATCCAGCGGCAGTGCCAGCAATGGCCGACATACAGAGGACACAACAGTGCAATCTTTTGCACCTTCCTGTCGAATTGCTGAATTAAGTTTTCGAATTTCTTTGCCTTCATTGCCAGTCCGACCCGAATGTAGTAGCCGATTACGACACACCCGACGCTTGGGAGTCGAACAGAAGTTTAGCCCGGATTTGCCGCGTCTGTCGAACGACATGTTTAATTGCACAATCAATTCTCTTCCACTATTATGCCTCTGGAAATATGCAGAAGATAACTGGATTTCGTGAAATATCAAACATACCAGAAGAAGATGATCTTCTCCCAAGTTTTCTATGCAGTATTCTTCAACAGCCGAAATTATCTCGTGCTGTGAAAGTGTTGTCATTTGTTCCAGGATCATTTCCCAACGGCATGGCACATCACGCAGCGCAGTTGCTTATTCATGAAAGCTTCCGAATGGGGCTTACGCCACCCGTTAGTGATCTAAAGTTTCTACTCGAACATCTGCGACGTGATGGCCATGAGACAGTCGACAATTTATCGGAAAGTGAGGCGCGGCCGAACTCCATCTTCAGTGGTCGAGTACACCATTGGCTCCAAGGACTTGCTGTTTCGAACACACCATGCGTCGAGCAGCTTCACGTCAACTTCCGTCCTCCACGCTGGCTTGCTGCTCTCGCACCAAATGTGATACTAGACCGGCTGCGAATCTTCGCAATAACAGGACAAGGACCGCAATTCCTGGCTCCTCATATCTCAAGACTGGTCAATGCAGCTCCTAACTTGAAAACAATGTGCGGCTCTGACATGGACTTCAGTTTTGAAATGGGGATCAGACCGACCAGTCTGCAGAAGCTGTCTATCAACGGACCCACTTCAGGTGTCCTGCAAGTCCTTCTCTTCTATTGTCCGGAATTACAAGATCTAGAATACTACCAAGATCCATTCTTGCCTAGTATTGCACAGGAGACTGACTTTGAGATCGTGAGACATACTCTACGTCGCCTTTGCTTCTCTGTCGTGCCACACGCAGCTTATGCTGGGGTGCCAAGCCATGGACCACAGCCTCCATCTAGGGATACAAGCTACTTCACAATGCTCGCTGTTCTAGACAAGGTTGACTGTGGCGGTGGGCTGTCATTTCGGAAGTTCGGGCTTCGAGAAATTTTGGAGATCGACTATTTTTTGCTCTATGGACGAGCTAGGGAAGCGAACGAGGACGACGACGACGACACCAACTTCCAGCCTCGACTTGGCCGCATACTGCCCGACTCAATCCGAATTCTTCACATCGGGTTTGTGACCGACTGGAAGCACATGTGCGAAGAGTTGATTGCTTTCGCATTGGATCTTAAACGAGGCAGATTCCCCCATTTGGAGATTATTAGAGTCGACGTGGTCACGTCTTCTTGCATATTCCAATTTTATAGTGCAGTCGAGGCTGCCATGTCAGTAACAAAGGTCGACTTTGTTCTGGGGCTCTGCCCCACTTGTTCCGTCTCTAGAGGAATGCTTCCGGGGAGACCAGCTGGCGCTGATGATCCGCCTGACGGGATGGTGAACTATACGTTATGAAAAGGATGAGGGTCAAATCCTCCCTCACCTCTTTCAGTCTTGAACCGGCAACCGGAGATCATCGACCTCACTAAGAAGACTGATTGCTATCACCCACACTCGGCTACTGATCTTTGGGCCGAGTTGCATCGGATTTGGAGATGCTCTTATGGATAGTGTCGCCGACATGCACTTTAGCAGTCATCAAGATGGCTATCTCCATTTGTGTGC